GCAGACGGCGCCCAGGGCAGCGGCAGGCAGCGGCAGCAGCTCCAACAGCAGCGGCGACGCGCTGGTGACCCGCATCTCCAGCCTCCTCCGCGACCTGCCCACGCTGAAGGCGGCCGTCATTGTGGCGTGCACCTTCTCTGCCCTGCTCATCGCCTGCTTGCTGCTGCGCGTCTTCAGGTGCGTCCGCCGCCCTCTTTCTAACCCCATGGGAAGGGCAGAGGCGGTCGCACCGCCAGCCTGCTGTCACCGCGCATTCTCTCCATCTGCGCACACACAGGTGCTCTGCGTGTGCGGCTCCCCTGGGGCCTCTGGGCCTTGGCGCCCTCCAGTCAGCTATGTGCCTGTTCGCCGTGTGTGTGTGTGTGTGTGTGTGTGTGTGTGTGTGTGTGTACAAGGTTCACCCCTCCGTTTCTGCTTGGTACACAATTTAGGGATCTCCCCATTCTTTAATCATATGCTTCTTAAAAGTTCATTCCATTTGTGACTTCTTTACTGAAGCTCGACAGTAGCAAACATGTTCTCTGTTCTGACAGCCAGCCTTATGGGTGGTGGAATTTCGTACCCGTTTCACAGATGAGAAAACAATTTAAGAGATAAGGTGGCTCATTCAAGTTGATTCAAGTGGTGGAGCTGGGATTTGAACTCAAGCACATCTGGCATTAATCTTACGTTGCCACCCTTCCATTTCCTGCCATCAGTGACTCCCTCATCCCCACCTTCTTTTCTTTTCCTTTGTTCTGCTACCCCAGATAAACACTTCCTTACCGTGGGGATTAAAAGTGCTTGGCAACAGATGGTGGTCTTCCGTGACTTCGTGGTGGTAGGAGAGAACGACTCTCCAGAGCCCATGCAGGTCACCCTTCCCTAGCAAGGAGTCACGCGGTCATGAGGTATCTTGGGCAAAAGATGGACAGTCCTCTGCGGGGCCTTTGAAGGTTGTTCAAGTTCAGGGAGGACGTGGGTCCCTTTGGGACCCGTGCTTTGGAACTTAAAAAAGATGACCTACATCCTTGGATGGGAAGAGGACATTGCTGTCTAGTGCCAGGAAATCCTGTTTGTTCAAGAAATGTACCCAACCTGAACTGGCCAGTTGCCTGAAAATTTGGGCACATGTATGGATTTTTCTCATCCCTTTCTCTCCCCTTCAAAGTGTGCACACTGTGCTGGGGTGTTTGATCAGCTGCTGAAGGTTTGGGGCCTGAGGCTTGCTCTAATTGAGAAGCAGAAACCCGACCTGGGAAATTGAGGCTTGTGAGGTCGCCTGGTGTGGCCTTGAGTCCAGTGTCTCCTTGTTACCCTGCAGGATCAAATGCTATTGCTCCTTAGAAAACAGACCAGAAACTATGATTCCACATTCACCCCACCATCTTCTCCCTCCCTCATTGGCTTAATGTTCCCAGGGTGTTAAATTGCACCCGCTAGACCTCACTCTTTGCATTACCCTTGACCTTCCTCTGTTTATAAACTTCTCAGACCCCTCTTTGCCCCTTCCCTGATGTTCTCTGGTGCCAGCTCGGCCTTTCCTGTTCTCAGGGCAATTTCTGCAACTAAGATTGCCCTTAACCCCTAACATCCAACTCTCTGGCTTCTTCATTTCTTTGTTTTCCTGTACATTCCACTGAAACCACTGCTTCTTTCTCTGGCCTCCTGCAGCCCTAACTTTGTGCATCTTCTAGTGGAATCCTTACCATGCCGTGATTCAGTTCCTAGTACCTGGCAGAAAGTGAGAGGGGGCGGAAGATGAGAATTCCAGTCAGTTCATTCCAGTCTCTTCTCCCTGGCTGACAACTGATCAGGCAGGCTGTCCGCAGCCACACTCGGAGTGTCCGAGTTCCCAACCGTTCAGTTGGAACAGATGTTAATGCCTAGAGCAGCTCAGAGCCTGGACGGTAGAAACATTCAGCTCAAAATAGGCCACCAAGTCCACAAGGAGGTGGACTTTTTAAGAAGGTATTTGAACTATTTTGCCAGTCTGCTCTTTATTACCCAGTAATGGGGAAGGAAGGAAAGCAGCATGCAGCCAGATGTGGGGGAATGGAACCAACCGCATGTGTGAGCTGCAGGGCTGGGAGGGAGGGGTGCTTGTTTGCTCGGGTGTGGAGTGTGGAAGGAAGGTTAGGACTTCACGGGCGTGGCTGCCCACAGAAGCACCCAGTTCCCTCATCTGGGGCTAGTGTTCTTCCTGGGGTGAGTCTGGAGGTACACAACTCTCACCCTCGTTTCTGATACACAGACTCACAAAATTTTACAGTTGGGAGAGATCTTGATGCTTACTCCCCATGAGCATCTTTACAGATGAGAAAGTTGGCCCAGGAAAGCAGAATAAGTCATTCCACCAGATTCTAGAACATTCAGCTGGTCTGTGGCCAGTATCGTCTCTGTAATCCACTGGCCTCTATGTTGGTCACCTTACATGCTGTGTCCCTCTGTGGGCTCAGTGCTGCAGGTTTGTGGCCAACACCCCTCTTCCCTGCTGTTTCTCCATCTACCTAACATGTACTCACTCACCAGGTCCTGGCCCTTCTACAGAGACTCTCTTCTGCTCATAGCACTTACCCTGAGCAGAACTCTCGTCCCTCTGCCACCTCTGTCCTCATGGGCTGCCTCCCCACCCCACCTTATCTTCTGAGTCAGCTATATCCTTTTGGCTGGTTTTCTGCATCCAACCCTGTTCCTATTTCATCTTCCCTCATATTGTCTCCAGCAACCATTTCCCCAAGTACAAACTCCTTAGCTTGCAGGCAAGCCTGGCTCTTCATGGTCCAAACCTGGTCCACTCTTAGGGCTCCCTGCTGAGGTGATTACCTTTTTCTGCCATGCTGAGCTTCCAGGGGTGCTCCAGAGGCCCCTCAGTCTGGAGTGTCTTGCCCTTCCCTGAACATCTGTGTGGAGTCCCCTGTGTCATCAAGAGAACCAAAAGAATACCATGAAACCCTCCCAGACCCCAGACCTTTTTGCCCCTGAGTCATTTCCAAGTCATCTAAACAACCATGGGTTACAGGGTAGGACAGCTGCAAAGAGTGTTCTTGGCTGTAATCTGTACAACAGCACATCTTTAGGCTTTTGTTTACTGGTTACATCCTGCCAACCTTTATTGTTGTTCTGTGTCATCAAGTTGGAACAAAATGATAGCTGACTCACTGATAGGTTTTCAGAGGCTGTAAATCACACACAAGGTGATTGCCTGTCTTTCTCTCATGGAAGAGCAGGTAGATTCAAATCACTTGCCTTTGGGTTGACAGCACAGCTCTTTACCCACTAGATCACTAGAGCTCCCTGGACTAAGTTAGTAGTCAAGGCAAACTGTCCAAGGACTGTCCTAAGACTATAGTGCCAGCTAATTGCTACATGCTCTCCTCTGCTGGGACACCTCTGTCCTCCACAGCACACTTGGACTTTTGTACCTCTGGGCATGTTGTTAGGAGGGATCATTCTTTGGAAAGGGGCATTATGCCTGGAAAGGTCAAGGGTCAGTGGAAGAGAAATAGACCCTCAGTGAGATGGAGTGACTGACTCAATCAATGCAGCAAGGGCTCAATGTGAGGATGGTTCAGGGTTCAGATCTGCTGTTCATAGGGTTGCATTGAGTTGTACTCGACTCAGTGGCATCTAACAACAATTCCTAATGGAGTCAAAACGGGCAGTTGAGCTGTCTGTCTCTTGACCTGATGGAAGACAGTTCTCCCGAGCAGGATGGAGTCTTCGTTTCCCATGTCTTCTCTTACCCAATCTGCTGCCAGGGACACACTGGCATTTAATTAAGGTAATTTCAGTAAAAGATTATGGACTCCCAAGTGCTTTACCTTGCCAAAGCTTCTCAGACTGTCCTCTGTGACTGGATGAATATTTAGTGCTGGGAGCCTGAGAGGCAGGAATATTTCTTGATGGGGCCCCTTTTCTTCTTCCTTTTAAAAAATGTTTTCTTTCTTTTTTGGTGAAAGTTTACACAGTGTGTTAGGTTCCTGTAAATACTGTGTATCTGGCATAGGGGGCTGCAATATCTGGCTTCCACCCTACTACGTTCACAACATCAACAGCACGAAACCACCCCATGCTCTCACCCCTGCTTCTGTCAATGGTGTTAACCAACTACCCCTCCAGCATGCTTGCTGTGGCCATTGTGGTGGCCACACAGTGCTCACAACAATACTCACCATTGTGGGTTTGTTAGGGGAGTGATAGGTTCTAATAGGTTAGAAACAGGATATAGTTCTCTAGTCAGGAAAGCATCTCAGATTTGCTTTTAAGCCCTTAGGCCTTCAGCCTTCATGGGTTCTGCCTTAAGGCTCTGGGCTAGTGTTACAAAGCTCTTTGAAGGCTGCCAACTGGAGGGGGAGGGCTACCCTGGTCCCTCTGCCGATAAGCCAAGGTGGAGGCCCTGGCTCTGACTCTGTGGGCTGGTAGATCCAGTTCAGCTCTGTTTCATGCCATTCGCTGGTCTTTCACTACCCCTGCAGGTGCCACTTCTGGTCAGGGTCTCTGTCTAGTGCAGGGACCAGTAGTCCAAAAGGATGCACTGCACTTTCCGCTTCAACAACCTGTAATATGCGGATGATACAACTTTGCTTGTAGAAGATAAAGAACACGTGAAAACTACAGCCTCCAATGTAGTTTATACCTCAACATAAGGAAAATGACAAAATCATGTTAAATGCAGAAAAGAATAAAGTTGCCAAAGATTTTCGTTGTACTTGGAACCACAGTGAACCTGTGAAGGCTGCCATCAAGAAACCAAACAGTGTGTTACATTGTGCAGATCTGTCAGAGACCTCCTGAAAGTGCTCAAGAACAAAAATGTCGGTTTAGAGACCTGAGCCAAACTATGGTATTTTCCATTGCTTCCAATACATCTGAAAGTGGACATTGACTAAGGAAGATTAAGGAAGAATTGAGGCTTTTGAATTGTAGCGTTGGTGAAGAATATTCAATATGTCACAAACTGTTAAAAGAACAGACACATCTGTCTTGGAAGGATTGCAGGCAGGGTGCCCCTTAAAAGGATGGATGGTAAGACTTTGTCTCACATACTTTGAGCATATTGCCAGGATGGGCTAGTCATTGACAAAGTACAACATGCTTGGAAAATTAGAAGTCCAGAAAAAGAGGAAATATGCAGAAGATCAAGTGACACTGTGGTTACAACCGTGAGCAGAGTGGGTGTTGTTGAGGGTGGTGTC